TCATTATATGGCCTTATTAGACTACAGTATGTTTTATGTCGTCTTTATGACACCACTCCTTCCTACAGAAAACTAGGTTTGAAGTCCATACTTGTTCTCTGTAGATCAAAAAAGGAGGTTATGAAAAAAAAATTGGCCTCGTATCTGAATGTATCACTGCAAATGTCGTCGAAAGACGATAGTCTTGCATCTGGAGAGAATGAACAAAGTATTTATTTAATGTTCTGCGCGAGAATATTGGTGAATTGTATTCTGGAGGCACTGCGCTAAAGAGTCTCGATCCATGCAGTGAAGGCAAACGAGCGCATCGAGGCACGTTAGACACGAGCACTATGTGGCAGTTATCTTCGAAATCACACCGGTCTCGAAAAGGATAAGGTGTAGAATGCAAAGCGACGGGGAAGTGCCATTACCGTGTCGTTTTAGCAAAGCTTTGAGAACACTTGCCTTTTTGAGCATCCTGTTGCATTGTCAGCGCAGCGTGATAAATGCTACAGTCCTTAGAATTAATTATGTATGCCTTCTCTAGTATAAAGACGCATATACAAAATATTAACGGGTTATTACGGTGCCACAGATATGTGCAATAATTGCTTCCTAATTGACAATAGCACAAGTATGAACGCTGAAACTTGAACAATATTGGTGGGCGCTGCAGATGGGGTTGGCCGTTTAGGGTATCGTTACGATGGACAGACAAATGTATAGTAAGACCGAAATTTCGGTGTCGAAGTACCCTAAGAAAGACTATTGTCTTTTTAAAATAAGAAAGGGAACAAAGGGACATGAGAGTGGCCACATGTCCTGGAAGTCAAATATCACAAGAAAAACCAAACATCACAATTTTGAGGTACTGTATAGGGGTAAAGGAAAGTAGAAACTTTAAACGCACTTTTCTCAGTACTAAAATACGAAAAATTGGCCCCGTATCTGCATATTAATCTACAAATGTCGTCGAAAGACTATAGTTTTGCATGTGGAGAGAGTGAACAAAACATATATTTGATGTGCTGCGCAAGAAAATCGGTGAATGGTATTCTGGAGGCGCTGCGTTAGAGTGCCTCGAGTGTGCAGCGGAGGCGAACGAGTGCATCAAGTCACGTCACACATAAGTCATGAGCGCCATCTGGCAGTTTTCTTGGGAAACGAAGCGTGTGGCTCTCAGACAGGTGTGCGCACCCGTCTCGGAGGTGATAAGGTGTGGAACGCAAAACGGCGTGTAGGGGCCACCACCATCTCGTCTTAGCAAAGCGTTGGAAACACTCATCTTTTCATGCAAACGTTGCATGGTCAGCGCAGCGTGATAAGCGCTACGGTCCTTAAAATTACTTATGTATGCCTTTTCTAGTAAAAGACACACATGGAGAATATATATGTGTTATGGTGCCCCAGACATGCGCAATATTTGCTTTTTAATTGACAAGTGCACAAGTATAAACGCTAAATCTTGAGCAACATTGGTGGGTGCTGCGAATGGGATCGCCCGTTTCAAATACCCGGTGCCGTTAAATGTAGACAGACAAATGTATAGACAGACAGACCAAATTCTTGAGTCGAAGGTCCCCAAGAAAGACTATCATCTTTAAAAAAACTCATCAAAAGTGCATCGAAGCAAGCATCAAATGCACAAAAGGCTCTGCCCCCCCCCCCCCCCTTCCCATCACAAAAAAGTCAGTTTCGCCAACAGGGCGAAGCAATGACTGCGATAGCAACACATTGGAATGTTTTACGAAGCAAGGCTAGCACATTTAGGAGTAATATTAATTTAAGTAATCATGTACTTTCTAAGTAACCAAGTTTCCTGTGGCGTGGCCACAGTAGATTGACTACAACAAGGCTCGTGTGTAGTTACGGCTGATAAGAAGCGCCTCCGGCACGCAGCGCATGCTGGTACTAAAGGCTATTCGCAATGCCCACGGCCTACAGGCGGCGCACTGTGCAATCCAAGATGGCTGCGAAAGGATGCTTAACTCGTGAACTCGCATAACAAAAGATAGGATGCACGGACGTACTCCCCATGCCGCTTTCACCGAATGAACTCTTAATCATCAAATGATTGTATATCAAACCAAAGTACTTTCCCAACCAATAGGAACTGCTGAAGGTTCGCTACCTCATTTCTCGCTGCAGCGCAACTGATCGACCGTGCTGCAGCTGATCGACCGTGTATTAACAATGCTTTGAGTAATCCTGTGCGTGCTATACAAAACTGTGCAAACCGGAATTCACGTATGAACTGAATAGCCCTCCAAGATCATTTGTGCTGAGCCTGTCTGGCGGATTTGCCGCAGTAGTAGGCCACTAGCGAATAGCGCGCAGTCGCGGCTGCACAGGAACGAATGTTTAAGGTAGCGATGGTTTGCAAACATATTACGCTGTCATTACTTTCACTCTAAGCATCATGTAGCTGCTTCTTCAACGGAACACAAGCATTTAACTTCCCATTAAGTAGCACTTGTGTCACAGCTATGATCAGACTAACAGTTCACAATTCCCTGCACTTGGATGTTGCAGGTTTCATCAGCACGATCGAAACGAATACATGCGTACACTTTTCGCAATGACAAAATTGTGAAATGTTGTTGAACAACAACGCCGTTCGCACGGCACCAGTGAATTGCTGGAAAAGTTAGGTGTGGACTGCAGTCGTAACTGCATATTTCATTGCTCTAACCATTTCACTTGGCTGGTCGAGCTCGAGCGTGTTGGTGCTATGCGGCGCTTTGTAATATCCACTTTGATTTGGATACATTTAATGAACAAGAAAAGGTATGCTTTTATTTTGAGCTCGCTAAAGAATGTTATAAATAAATACAATCAAAGTGACTTCCGAGCGTAAAAAAACATTAACGCATGACGGGACATGAAGTGCAACTCTCTGCTCGCGAGCTAGCAGCTAATCGTTCACTGTCGCTGTCATTCTCAGCGCGTCAACCATCTACGTCCAATGAAAAATCCTCGATGTCAAGACGGTTTCTTTGAGCATCACTGCTAAAAGTAATATGAGGAATTATCTCCGCCAAACGACTTCGATACCACCAACAACGCCTCATTCACCACGCACAACATTCACACGGCATCACTCACCACGTTTATCTGGGGGTGCGGAGATCATTTCGCTCCGATACCCAGCAAAAAAGGAGTTGCTTGCAGTGTGCTGCCATCTATCAACAAACGTAAAAAACAAGCGGCGCAGCATAGGCCAAGGTTTTGAAGCGCAAATCGCGAGCCTGAGAGACTTTCCGCACACAATGAATGTTATGGGATTCATGCACTACAAAAGCAATGACGAATGCTATACTCGCGTGAAACAAGGCGAGTTTTAACTAAAATAGACGTTAACATTTAACTATCCAAAGTGGCTGCAGAAAATCTTGCAAACCTGATATTTGTACTCTGCAGGCTATAATCGAAAGCACGAGTTGCCACAAATTTCCACGAAAACTTCGCGTCTCGCAAGAACGAATCAGACTTATTGTGCCACAGACGGTCCGGTATATTCACTGATGCACGAAACATACAAAGTGGTTTGTCTTCGTTTCTTGCTGCGCGTTAACCCTGCGGCTTGCACCGCCGAACAAGAGAGCATTGGGAGCGTCTGCCTACTAATCATCCTTCAGAGGATGGTCCTGAATTCCACTAGGTGGCGCAACAGTCTATGAACATTGCAAATGGTCATGTGTCGCCACTGGTGGCAGTTTGTTATGTGTAGAGCGCATCTATATGTGGACAGCGGCTCCAGGTACACTTTTGGCACCGTTTTTTCGTGTTGAGAGTGCAGCCCATAGAAGCTCCCGCCTGCTATGGGGGCAAGAGAGCCGCACGCTGATCGATGCCACAGTAACGCGGACCCGTAAGCCCCCCCCCCCCTGTTCGCTTATGAAATAAATGCGCGTGCAGATGACCCCGGCGGGAAAAGCGATGTTCGCCCCACAGAATGAGAAGCTTGTGCATCCAGAAGGATGCACGAGCACACAAGCCGGCACCAATGAGCTCTCTTTACTTTGATGTCATGAGCCAAATGCAAATCTGTCCTGACATCTGACAGCATGGCTAGAACATGAGCAGGACCTCTGTGCCTCTTCCATCATCCTAAGTTGTACCCTACTACAAACATATAGTAGATTGCAGGAAACAAGTTGTTTCCGGCAATCGGAAACAATCGGAGACGGCCAACCCACCGCCTTTGGGCGAGCTAGGCCGTCTCTTTCTGCGTTCTCATTTCTCAACATGACTCCCCTCCTCCATAGTTTGCCACGCTGGGAGAGCAGGGTGTGACATTTAACCCTTCTCACCCGGTAGCAGATGTCGACAGTGGCGCCGAGCGCAAAGTCTCTCGGGATGCTTCGCGCGCGTGTCGGAAGTGAGAGAGAACTCCTCTGAAACGACATGAGGTAAGCACGCATTTCTTTTCCATTCGTCGTCTCCCTTTATTTGGGGCTCGTTCAGACTTCGCCAACGGTGCCTTGCGCCCGCGGCGAACCCTTACCTTTTGTCACCCCTTTCGAACGCTAAGCCGAAGAGTGTTGCAGTTTCCTAGTGCGTGGTCAAACATGCCGACCCGTACCTCTCAGAAGCCAACGCGAGTGAAGTTTTGCCCTCACTAGAGTGACCAGGCCCTTTGTCCCGGTGTCATTGTGAATAACGGAGACGTGCTCGCGGCACCCCGTGTGGCTTATTCACGCCTGAGGCGTGGATAAGCCCATTTGCTTTCCTGCCGCCCCTGTTGCAACGGGTTCTGTACTGCGTTTGGGTGTTGCCGCAGACAATAAAGTGTTGCGACCTTCAGCAGCATTGTGTTCTTGCCACGGCGATGATTAACGCGTGCCTCGCGGCTCGCTAAGACCGGACCCACGCTAGTGGCCGTAATACTTTGGGATACGTGTACACTACAAACTATGCACACAAACTGAAGACTATGATCGACGGACTGGTCATGACACCATGTGCATGCCATCAACTAAAAGCAAAGAGCTTAAGTGCGTAGTAATTTCACTCACTTCAGTCCATGGCCATCATCCCAGAAGTAGTACTTTGTATTGAGGTTCTTGTAGTCCAAAAGAGCATTATCTCCCCGCCTGATGATTTTGTCCCATAAGACAACCTGATTAAGTGCCTGAAAAAAAAAAAAGTATGATAAGGATCCATGAGTAGAATGCATAATACCAGCTTAACTTGTAAACTATTACTAAAATGCTTCTTTAATGTATTAAACCATAAATTAGAAATCAGGGAGGTCATTTCAATGTGTGGTTACCCACCAGTGTTCATTAACACGATTTAACATAATTTGTCGGAGAGACAGAGAGGTTGAGTAAAGAAAAAGACTAAACTTCAGCAGCTCTAATTGGGAGCACAGCTCAGTGCCTGTAGGGGTGGGGGTATTAAAAACGTGAAAGAGAGAGGCGTCCATGACCGAAGACGTGGCGGGCAGCTTCTATAAGCAGTTGTCCAGTTCAGTGCCCCCAAAAAAGTGAAGAACAGTCTTGAAGACCTAAGTGTGGTGGCGTGCAGGGAAGAGGTGGTCCCTCTGTGTAGCCGCGAGCAGACCGTGGCGACGAAGTGGGGCGAGCAAGATGGTTCATTGTGCGCGAAGTGCTGGGAAAACATACAAGAGGTGCTGGTTGTCTGCCCCGCACACAATGCATGCAGGGGATGAGGCTCTGCTAAGCCGATGACTCCAAGCCGCAGGCCAGGAGCAGCCAATGCATAAATGCAGTAGAGGGGACCTCTGCCTCCTGGTGAAACCCCAGTCAGGCAGCCGGGTTGGTGGTTCCATCCTAGATACACAATCGTCAGGGTGGCAGCGTAGTAACAGCCTCCTCTCAGCCTGCCTTTGCCAGAAAGACTAGAATAATCTACACCTTATCACACTCATATTGTTACAAATTCATAAACAAGGGTTGTGTCGAGTCAACCTTTCGACAAGTGGACTTGTCTTCCTGAGGGCTAAAAACCATAGCTGATTTCTTTACTGCTAGCGTGTCAACGCTCCGTACCCCCTCCTCCACCGTAATGGAGGGAGAGAAGGCAACATTGGACACAAAGGTGTCGAAGAGAGTGGGGGAATTTTACGAGTAAAGAGGGAACGGGTATTCCGTGAATAAGATGAAAATAAGGAAGCAGGGGAGAGCTGAGGATGTAAATGTGTCATTGAATCACGGTTGTCAGAAGTTAACAACGGTAGATTTGAAATTTCTAGGTGAAAGGCTTAACTCCCATTGGTTTTCTTTGTGTATGTACCATAAGGAATGGATTCAAGAGCCCATTTAGAAACGTTATATACACCTGCTAGTTGGAGTGTTTTGAATTTGTGAATGAGGTACGACTGTATATTTCCCGTCTCTTGCAGACCAGAAGTTCGAGTGAAGTTGTATAGTTCGATCGTCGAAATGTGTCCTGCTACATCAAAATGCTGTGCCACTGCTTTCGGTAATTTCTTTGTCGTGTCCGCGTGATGGCTGTTTAATCTAACACTACTAACAGGCTGCCCTGTTTCGCCAATGTACTGTTTATGACAATATGAACATTTGATCATGTAGATAATATTTCCACTAGTGCAGGTAAAACTAGATTTTATATGATGGACATAATCACTTCTGGTGATTTAAACTATCATGCCATATTGAAGGTGTTTGCAAGTCTTGGATCTTGGATGGGAGCAAGGTGTTGTTTGGGCATAAGAGTGAGAGTTTACTTTTGTATGTACTAACATGTTCTTAATATTCCTATTGTGCCAATATACGATCTTTGGTACTTAGGGAAATGCTTTTCTAATGCGCTCGTTACTTTCCAGTATTAAATAATACTTACAAAGGATATTATTTATGTTCGGGAGCACATTTGAGTATTTGGTTATAAATGCTGGCAGCTGGTTGGGTTGTGCTAAGGGTTTTTTTTGTACTAGTTTTCTTTTCCAATCTATTTTACATGCTTTGTTGTAGACCTTGCTTGGGGTGTTTTGTGCATAATTTCTTTCAACTAATGTTTCCTTTAGGTTACTTAAGTGGTGGACTTATTCATTGTCATCGATACAGATCTTTCATATACCCCTCACTTGTATGACAAAAATCCCGTGTTGAGTGACTAGTGTAATTTAGGTACTGTTGACTGTCTGGCGGTTTTCTGTAAAGTGTGGGGGTGCTGACAACACCTGTAAAGTTGTTTGGGCTGCATGGCGCGCGTGTCTCGCCCAAAAGCCGCATATCAGGTTACAACTACTGGGCGATAGGTGTCATTAGTAGCGAGCGGAGATCACCACTATCATGATGGTTGATAAAGTGGTGGCGCCAGCGGTGATCCCTAGCGGAAGGCAAGCCTTGGTGATAGGCGAGAGTTGAGCGAGTCTCTTCTGCGTGTGGCGGTTGCCGCGAACGGTTGTCTGTAGCGTGGGTCCCGGGTGCGTGGCACTGCGGGCTGCGTGTTGGGGGCCCTCATGGTAAGTCAAGCATTGGCGACACCGCCTTGGGTGCGTTATTGTGTTTGTCATGTTATTGTGTGTTTGTCGGTTATTGTGTTTGTCATGTTTTGGAGTGTATGGTAATATTGTGTAAGGATGTCCTAGCGTGTTCGATCACGAGTGCTGTTTAAATAATTCGGCGGACGATATCGTCGTTTTAAATTAGTTAAATAAATGTGTGTTGTTATTTGGTTTGTTCCGACCGAGTCTACTGTGTCCTTTCACTCCAAGAGAGTGGTTGTGGTGCTCGCCTTATCAAGATCCCACAAAAGCGTAGTCTTTAAATGTCCTGCTTCAATGAATACTGCCGTGTCCAGGAAGTTAATTTCATTTGGAGAATGGTGCATGGTAAATTTAATACTAGAGTGAAACCTTTTACATAGAGTGTTGAATGAATTTGATTGGTGTGCTTATGCCATGTTCCCATATAATAAATATGTCGTCTATGTAGTGAAGATAGGTAGAAGGCTTCACTGGAGATGATTTCAACAGTTCTAAGTTTATCATAAAAATGTTGGTGTATGTTGATGCAAAAAGGGTTCCCATACTAGTGCCAAAACTTTGTAGGTAATAGGACGAATCAAATTCAAAATAATCAAGCATCAGGACTAATTCAAGTATTGAGTGATAAACTTCAGCGTTATATGTCAGCTTGCTTTCTATGAGTGACTCTAACACTGCTTTGATTCGTTCTGTTATAGGTATATTCGTATACAAAGAGCATACATCTAATGTTAACAGAATGGTCAGAATTTACTATTCAAAGGAAATGAGGTGTATACTGTAGAAAAGATGGTTGGGTGGATGGTATGTTAGACAACTGATGATTTAGAAAATTTGATAGTGACTCGGGTGTATTGTTTGTTGTTGGACACTATAGGTCTGGCTGGGATTGCTGTGGTAGTTTCTGTATGTAATACTCATGAGTCTTTGGAAGAAGGTAAAAAAAACCTGCTTGCTTGTTTTTAGGAATGAGAAACCGGTGATTCGAGGGTGTGATGAATTCCTTGACTACAAAATTTGTTATGGTATGTTGTAAGCTATTACGATATTCTTGAGTCTGGTCCAAGGCTAATTTTTGATAGTGGGTGTTGTTGAGTTGTCTGATAGCTCCGTTTTTATATTTTGCTATAGGCAAGATTACTATGCTTCCAACCTTGTCCGCTGGTTTTATGACAAGGTCTTTTCTGCTTTGAGAGTTCTTTCAAGACGTCATGTTCTGCATAAGTTGAGTTTTTCGGCTTTTGACTTTGCTTTGTTGTACTCAGAGGCTTTGTATTGAAACTAGTTTTATGTATTGATGTAACTTTTAGCATTGTTCTGTATCTGGTGTCCAGATGCTCGATTGTCACAAGAAGCCATGGCTAACATCTTCTGTATTTGCCTTATCTAAAAAGAACTCCTTTATGCGCTAGCGCCTTGAAAATTCAGTTATATCTTAGCTGAAGATCGTACTCCTTCACCGAGTTGTTCGTGGGACACAATGCAAGACCGTGCTCGAGCAGATCTATATCGACTGGACTTAAGCACAGCGATGTGTCTACCACTTCGCCTTTGCATTTTAAGTGTCGCACTGCGGTTGCAGAATTTGGTGCCATCTTCATTAAATTATTCATAGTTATGTTCATAGCATGAATTTTTGTGCACTTACCCTTTATCAGCTATTTATCTTCTCTTCGTTCTATAAATTGGGTTAGTCCCCTCTTCAGATAAATTGATGCTGTTAAGTTGGTTGACTAATAGAGAAAGATGATTTTCACAATGTTTTTTTTTTTAATGTCTATTAATGACAAAGATGCACTACCTAGAACTCTGTTCCATTGCTTTATTAGGTTAGATGAGACCGAGTACCCAGAGAACATTTAACTTTAATTTTTAAGACCTTACGAAATTTTCTTTTCTTTTTCTTCAAACACATTCTGTAGTTCGTTTCACGACCAGTTTGTGGGATTGGAGAAAAGGACGAGATTTACGATTGCCTTCTCTGCCCTGGGTGCTTGTCAATTGTTTATGGCAGACCTCCAGAGCACAACGTTTTCCGGTGTTTTCTTATTACCTTTGCGTTAATGGTGAGGTTTGACCCGATGCATGGTTCCATAGTGCTTTGTTTTCTAACGTTCCCAGGTGTCTCTGTAGGGAGTAAGTGCGTAGAATTGTTGTCTCTGCTGGTTGTGAGGGTTTCGTTACTGCTGTCCACCGTCCGAGCACACGCTTCTTGTGTCTTAGCTACAGTGTGTTGCAGCTAGTGCTTGCAGTATGTGAAATGTGTTGTGGTGGTTCGTGAGACACCTCAGCGGGATGTGTTTGTTTGAAATCGTTCCAGATTTTGTGCTTGATGTTTCTGCAAATTATCGCAACGCCTGAAAAGTGAGGATCAAGTCCATCTCGAGCGAGCAGGGTTTCGTGGTCCTGGATGACATTTTCGTGGCAGTGCTCAATGTTCCGAAGAAATTCGTTGACCTTACGTGATCCTAGTGCATGAGCTAGGAATGTGCGCAATCGGGTAATGGGGGATTCGTGTTTCAAGGAGCAATCACGGCTTCACCCTGTTTACGGATGTTTTTCCTTCCAAGCCTTCATCTTCCACTTCCTGCTATAGCCCACATGCAAGTTAAGTGGGAAATACACAGGCCTTTCCTGGCAGTGTGTACAGGATCTCTTATGCGGATTGCAAAAGTGTGAATATCAGGGAAAACTGCAACTTGAGACTGAGCCTGCGCCAACATCAGAACGATGCAGGAAAGAAAAAAATTTCCTGTATGAGCGTTATTTTGAGTTGTGCAAAACGCCGAAATGTTTGGCTAGGTCACCATGAAAGAAAAGCCAGCATTGCTAGCAAGATCTCCACTGCATGCGAGAGCTGTTGTAATAAAGGCAAAAGCATTCACAGAAAAAAAAAAAAATTTTACTACTGCAGATAGAAAAACTGCATGATGTCTGCCTGCTTGGCATGCAAGCACACGCACGCAGCAGGCAGGCAATGCCTCCTTGACTAGATGCTCACCGTGTCGCGCGCTTTCCCATTGCGGCGGTGCTCGTTGCCTTACTGACTTTCGTTGCCTTACTGACATGCAGTTGTCCATAGCTCTAGCCTGAAGCTATTTTTCATGCAAATCAATGTACACTAGAATTTCCTGAAACGATACTCAAGCTGGGTGCGTGGTGTTCAATGCTCGACTTACGATTTGGCATGCAGTAATGAGGCATGATCAGTGCATTGATTGCTAGACACAGCCGCCAATGCTTCACATTTAGAAACGCAGGAACTGCTAGCGTAAATCACCAGCACTTAAGATGGAACATGCGGTGACGAAGTACGTCTGCCGACTGAAAATGAAGCGAATTTCAACACGTCTGCTTTCAGTATACTGTCACCTGGAAACACAATAGGAGTGAATTATTGCAAAGGTTTAATAACTACTTGTCCACTGATGCTTAGTTTCTTATTCAAACTTTAACACGGAAAAAGTGTCGCAAAGCCTGTCCTCCACACGCAACGCCACCCCTGGCATCTCCGAAACAGTGGTGACAAGCGTGATGGCTATCTCAGAGGCAGCATCACGTTATCTCTGTTGCAGCGCCTATTGCCCTTCCATGAGAAAAGAACGGGGAGGGAGGGTGCATGCATCTAGTCAAGAAGGCATTCGTACAGGTGATCACTCTCACAGTTGCTTGAAAAGGTGGATAGTGCATCCACGGGAATTTAAAATTTGCCCTTCACCACCATGTTAGACGCATACAGTAAGAGACGATTGTTCGCACAGAACCATCATAGCCTGTTGGCCTTTTACCCTCCCCGTCAAGATTTCAAGATATCTATGGTCACTTTTGAAAATGTTTCGAGAGAAAAGGGGGCAAATATATAGCGCTGATGAGATGTTAATGCACGACGTGAAGAAGTTTCCACTTGACCGAGATTTTCAAGATACGAGAGTTTGAGTTAACGAGGGATTACTGTAATTACTTCTTGCACACTCGAGCAAATAAGCCATGGCTCGTTAGATGCTTATTGTAACAGAAAAAACAAGGAGCAAAATTTTTGTGCCGGTACTGTAATGTGTGACTAGATCTACACTCCGTTCATACATTAAGTGCAACGCTATGGAAGGTGTGCAAGAAGTTCGGCCAGCAAAACGCATAACTCTGCATGCATCGAGGTCGCTCACGTGACATTTGATTAGTGCCGATGCACCCTCACATTTCTTTGTGCTCCCCTACGACGCGACTGGCGAACTGAAAAACTCGGGTATCGAATGACCCTGTGGTGTCCTACCCTGCCTTGATGCTCCAAGTGGCCACCATAGTGACATACCTGTATGTGCAAACTAAGCGATACGCCGCCCAACAGGCGCTCAATGGTGTTTTTGTTTATAAGGCACAAAATATCTTCAGTTACTTCTTGCCATAATAACCAAACAAAAATTCAAGCTATTAGTGTAAGAGCATAGAATTTTGTTTTGTTGTGTACGCATTGACTGCAAGAAGTCTCGCTAGCTTCCACAGCGTTGCACATGATGTATTAATCAGAGTATAAGTACATGGGCGTTTAGCATTTTTGTCTTGACCTTACAATGGGACTGCCATGCCCGAGATCCAACCTTCTATGACAAACATTGTCAATGTGTGTGCATATAAGTACCCATTTAAATTGGAGAAACAACATGCTGGATCATTAGAATCATTACATCTAGGCATGAGAAATTGAGCAATTGAATGGTTGTACGCAATATACCATCATATCTGGAATCATTACAAGTGGACTACACTGTGTACATATGGCAGCATTTCTTGAGGGCATGAGTCATCATTAATGTTCTCTAGCTGAAGAGGCACAACCGCAAAGAGATTTGTGCTGAGTTACAGAGGAGCACAATGTGACCATTCTACACTTGTACATTCTACAGACAGTTGTGAAGATTTGGATGCAATCACACAAGAGGTCCTGATGAACAGGAGGGGTCGATTGCCAACACAGATGGGAGCAATGCATATAGCCTGATGCTTATGCATCTCCTTAATAAACTGCCAGTATGCACCTGTTTTAACGAAGCATTGCTCAAGAGATGCGCCGGATGTAGACACGGCGTTTTATCGCCACATTACAAGCGCGCTGTCTATCTTGCCAGCAGAATATGATTTGTTGCAGTCGCTTTGCTCCCATTAGGGGGCTGCCAGCAGTCTTGCATAATTCGGCACTGTCGACTTTAGCAAGACAGTGAGAACCGGATGACACACAAGTGCTCCCTTTATGATTAAACAGCGGTACAACTCTGGTTGAAACTCGAAAAAGTTACAAAAGGTGTGTCCACTTACGTTGCTCTCCGTCTCGTACTCGGCGGTTAAGTATAGAAACAGCTGTTTGACGTTCCAGTTAAACAGCTCGCTAAGATCTGTTTCCAGTTAAGGACTTCCCAGAACACATATGCACGACATATGCCAACTTTTCGCTAATACTTTTGGGTCATTGCATGCCGATTCCACCATCCAGTGTTTTCCGAGCTTCAGGATTTTTTGCAAGAAAATCACGTCGCTGTTTGTGCCGGTTGTTAGCCCTACTGTACTGAATTTTCGTGGTGTAGTGGGTATGTTGTTGATGGGCAACATGATGCATTGTTGCTGTGTGACTTCAGTTAGAGTCCTGCTGACCAACTGAACTTTTCTCTTTCTTTTCTGCTTTCAATATTGTTTCAAGTAATTTGCCTATTTTAAAGGCAGCATTTTACAGTGATAACCGCATTTTCCTACAGGGGAATGCGGTTATCATCTACGTTCCATTGTCAACACAGGTGCACCACAAGAAATGGGATCAGCGTGGTGACTTCCAGATGAGCCATGCAGCTTTAAAGATTTAAAGTGGCAAATACTACTTAACTGGGGGGTTCTGCAAATGCCAAAGGTGCGTTTTATGGACTCAATAAAAATATTTAATCATATTCAGTACACAAGTCTTATAGCATGCTAGTAGCATTGACGCAGTACACTGATGGATGATTTGGCATGGAATGACCACTGGAAAGCGTCGAAACGGCGCCGCCTGACTGAGTACTACAGCGTGCCGCCGTCTGCTCGTAAGCTTCTGGTCAATTACAGCATAAAAATTTACATGCGGTACGCCTATGTTTGGTGAGCGTCGGTCTCAGCATATTTTGGAAAAACTATAGACACGGCGGCTGAGAGAGTTTCGGACTGTACGAGGCCATTTCTTCGAATACTAAAAAGGATACTGGCTTTAAGGTCGAACGTTACAAAACCCAGGTCATTCTTCCCTCTAGCAGTACTGAAATCCTGGACATTCTTCCTGCAAAAGACAAAAACGGGCAATATTATTAATAGGTCGTTCAAACGTAGCGCAGCCGTACGCTTGGCCCAACTTACACGACAGCTTTGATGGTTTGCAGCTCAACTTCTGACTGGTATCTGTGGAATGCCGTGGACAGGAAACAGCAAAAGGTTAGCGCTGTTAATACGCTTAACGTAAATGCGAATATTGCGTTGGCTCTAGAAATAACCGTGTTCATAGCTGTGCTGCAACACACACACGGGCTAAGCTACGTAGACAAGCGCGACTGACTGTAAAAGACTTGTAGACGTATGAAAAATGATTTTGCCGACACATTGTTGCTGGCTGAATACTGTTCTTTACGCTAAAGCAAAAACAACTTGGGAGTAATTGTTATTCAAGGCTACTAAAATAGCTTTTTAACATTGACAAAAATGTTATGCCACAACTTATGCGCTTATAACGCTAGTTTTTTTTAGAGAGAAAGAGAAAAAAAAAGATGGCAGCACAATGCGAACGGTGGTTTGGTTTCCTTTACAGACCGCGCTGTTTGAAATTTGGGGCGTGCAAACGCCAGGTTAACCGGGCTATCCAGCATAGCCAGGCTGCAGCAGTTCTTTCCTTTCGTAGGGAGCCTTCAGGGGGGGGGGGGGGGGGGGGGGAGTGGTCATAAAAGGGAAAAGAAGAGAAAAGTGAGCCCCGTAACCGTCTGCATCAGGGTGCGACACCTCAATAGTAGCTCACAATAGATGGGTTGATGTCGCAGGTCCCGTTAATTAGGGAGGCGATCGCCGGGCTAATTCCAGGGCCGAAGTATCGGCCCCCCGAATCGCACACTAAAGCGTGGACAATTTAGAAGTGGTCTTATTTGGCGTGCCAGCGGACGCCGGCTGTGGCCCAAAGAACAAGTCAGAGCCGAGAGTTGATAAACAAAACAAAAATATATTCTCAATAATGGCAGATCAAAACAATACACAAGTATGCACACTCCACAATAGTTGAGTACAATGTCACCAATCAAACTACGTACTACACAGTACAATCAGCCACACTCGAAACAACGGACACATACGCACTACAATGCAGTCGCATTCATTGAACAACCAAGACACTTACGGACTAAACAGATAGAACCTATTCAGTCTAAGTCCTTGGAACAAAAGTCTGGATGATACTCTTCCGAGAATCACTCACTCAAAGTCCAGCGTTGTTGTCGTTCCGCTGCCCCCGAAGTTTCTCTTCTAGGAAACCTCGCGTCTTCACTTGGCCACTCTCCAAGCTTCAACCTTCTTCGCCGGAAACACGTCGGCTTCACACACGCAGCTGTTGCCACGCCTCTTCGCTCGATAGCGGTAGACACACGCTCTTGCCTGTAGCTGGAGCCTTCACCCCTCAGGTGGAAATCCTCTTCTTCTCCTGCTTTGTCACTATGGACAAAACCTTCACCGACTACACGGCGGAATACCTTACGCGCTCCGGCGCTAACTTCCGTCTTCCCCTGGTCTACCATCTCGGCTGCTCGATTAAATACCTTCCGCGCGATATTCCAGAAAGTTCTCATCATTTCGTCGGCGCGATACGCAGCGAAGACTGGGGAGAGGGCGAGACGGTTCGAAGGCCGTTCGCGACGGATGACGCAGCCCGGCATCACCCCGCCCCTTTCCATCTAGAACATTCGAGGGCTTGTTCGGGCGCCGATGACAGGAGGTTCTTCGGAGAACCTACGCTTCCAAGGGTAGAGGGACGCGTGCCCGGGGAGTCTTTGGATGCTTGTTTTCTTTTTTTTTATCGTTGACCTCGCGGCATCACTCCGGTGTTTCGTCGCGAGAATTTGGCGGCGCGCCCTTTTTTGAGCGCTCGGTTTGTGACACTGCCCCCCACTTTAAAAATATTATTTCATAATATTCAAAACCACACAAACGAGCGCGAACAGTCCCCACACTCTCTAAGACTGTAACATAGTCCGTCGCTCATGACACGTCACATTCACAATAGATCACTCAATACAATTGTACATTGTAATTCAATCACACAACACATGAATATAGCCGCAGGTACATGAGTACAACACTCCATCACATATTCCAGACAATACAAATGTACAAAGTTCTCTCATTACAACAATTGTACGATACTATACATCACGTCACAGCACAAACACTTCGACACTTGTGACACAGGATAACACAATAACAACACAGCCAAATGCATTCCGATTTGACCTCAGCACCTATCCTAAGTACTTCAAGCTGCGCTTGCGCCCTTTCTTGCGGTGCTCGCTCAATCTCTTCTTGTTTTTCCTCGTTTTCTTCCGGCGAGCCCTTTCCAAAGACGGTATCTGAGGCGGCGTCTCAGCCATCGTTGTCACTTCCGACACTGTTAACGGGTCATGACACTAAACCGATCCTGTCACCCGCTTGTTCATGTCACGACATTTGGCCTGGCTGGCCGACTCCGTCACCTTTACACTGTCGCTCGGTTGAGGTCGTGCCGACGTAAGTCCAGCTGCCCAGCACGTAAACTCATTCAATACGATGATGTTCTCATTCACTGTCTGTTGCGCCCAGGCTTCACCTTGGGCTCGAGTGAAATCCTTCACAGAATTGTTCTCCGCTGAGTCTCGCGGTCCCTGTGTCAGCGGAAGCTCCATCTTCAGGTCTTCCCCCAAACATTCTGGATCATTCGGCCCTCGCGCCCCGTCGATGTTTCCGATGACGAGGTCGTACAGAGGGGTCGTCATGCATAGAGCAGTAACCTTCCCGCTGAAGTACGGGATTTCAACTTCAATCTCTGCTTCGGGAAGCATCCGAACCGTACTGTCAATTAGGCAAACTGGTTTCGTTTTGCCTGTTAACTCACTTTCCCGTACCAAATTTCTCCGCACGATAACAGTGGAGCTGCCGGTATCTCTTAACACCGTAACCTTCTTGCACGCAACTTTTCCAGGCAGCGTTGGCATTCCCTTCGTAACACCGGTCGGCTGTTTTGTCATTACAGCACGCACAATAGGAAGTTTCTCCCCATTTTTCAACTCTACGAACCCGTCGGTGACGGCATTCTCATCGAATTTCGGTGCTGCTAGCACACAGGATACCTGGTGAGTTTGACTCGCTCCGTTACTACATGCGTCTGCTTTGTGCCCAGTCTGACCACACTTGAAACATTTTACTACCGTAGGGCTCGCAAAGTTAGTACGACAGTTGTTCGTGCGATGACCCACTCGGTTACACAGAAAACATCGCGGAATAGTCTCCGGTGCACGCTTCTTTGGTTCGGGTGCCGAATTTTCGAGTCTTCGGGACACTCCTTCTTGACTTTGGCCAAATTAGTGCCACCTTGCGCTTCCAAGAATTGATCGGCTAATTCAAGCATGTCTTCAAGTGACTTAGCTCTCCTCTCTTTCAAGTACAGCGACAGGCTTGGGTGGCAACTAGTAAGAAATTGTTCTCTAATTAGGAGCTCTTTAAGTTCATCGTACTCCTGCGCTGTCCCTGAAAGTTCAATCCATCTGTCGAAATAATGGCAAAGTCGGGCGGCATACTGCGTAGCCGTCTCACCATCAGCTGGCTTTCCTGTCCGAAATCTGTCCCGGAATCTTTCCACAGTAAATCTAAATCGCTTCAGCAAAGCAGCTTTCACCTTTGCAAAGTTGGCTGCATCGGTCGGCGTCAGCCTACCGTACACACTGAGCGCTTCACAACTCAAGCAAGTACTCAAAGCAGTTTCCCATTGATGTTCCGGCCAATTCTGGCTCCTCGCAATCGTCTCAAATCGGTGAAGGTACGCGTCAAGGTCGTCCTTCCTTTCATCAAACGCTACGAGCAGCTTGCTTGGGTTCAAGCGGAAGCCATGATCTTCCAGTTCGCTGCTTACAACTCTAGCTTGGACCGGAGTTTCACTTCGCTGTTGCAAACGGAGCCGCTCGAGTTCTATCTCGTGCTGTCGCTGCCGTTCCCTTTCCTCTCTTTCTTCGTTCAGCTGTTGCTCCTTTGCCTCTCTTTCTTCTTTCACCTGTCGCTCATTTGCCTCTCTTTCTTCTTTCTCTCTCTCAGCTGCCAACCTCTCTCTCTCCACCGCCTCTTTCTCCTTCTGGCTTACCCACTTTCGTAGTTCGGCGCCAGAAAGACCCATCTTCTCACCAAGAGCTACTAACTTTTCGAGATCCATGGTGTCTCGCAAATAAAACCCTGCCGCGTGCAAAAGATCTCTGCCTAAATCAGTATATCGGAACAGTCTCCTGCGCTCGTTAACGAGAACACTGAGCAACACATAAAATCGTTCCGATAGCTCACTCAACAACTCGAGGCTCTTTCTCACTACTTTGGACACCCTGTGCACCAAAAGGTCCTGTCGAGGACGCCAAATTAATTGCCACGGGTCCCGTTAATTAGGGAGGCAATCGCCGGGCTAATTCCAAGGGCCGAAGTATCGGACCCCCCGAACCGCACCACGAAAGCGTGGACAATTTAGAAGTGGTCCTATTTGGCGCGCCAGCGGACGCCGGCTGTGGCCCAAAGAACAAGTCAGAGCCGAGGGTTGATAAACAAAACAAAATTATATTCTCAATAATGGCAGATCAAAACAATAAACAAGTATGCACACTCCACAATAGTTGAGTACAATATGTCACCAATGAAGCAACGTACTACACAGTACAATCAGCCACACTCGAAACAACGGACACATACGCACTACAATGCAGTCGCATTCATTGAACAACCAAGACACTTACGGACTAAACAGATAGAACCTATTCAGTCTAAAGTCCTTGGAACAAAAGTCTGGATGATACTCTTCCGAGAATCACTCACTCAAAGTCCAGCGTTGTTGTCGTTCCGCTGCCCCCGAAGTTTCTCTTCTAGGAAACCTCGCGTCTTCACTTGGCCACTCTCCAAGCTTCAACCTTCTTCGCCAGAAACACGTCGGCTTCACACACGCAGCTGTTGCCACGCGTCTTCGTTCGATAGCGGTAGACACACGCTCTTGCCTGTAGCTCGAGCCTTCACCCCTCAGGTAGAAATCCTCTTCTTCTCCTGCTTTGTCACTACGGACAAAACCTTCGCCAACTACACGGCGGAATACCCTACGCGCTCCGGCGCTAACTTCCGTCTTCCTCTGATCTCCCATCTCGGCTGCTTGATTAAATACCTTCCGCGCGAGATTCCAGAAAGTTCTCATCATTTCGTCGGCGCGATACGCAGCCATGACTGGGGAGAGGGCGAGACGGTTCGAAGGCCATCCGCGGCGGATGACGCATACCGGCATCACCCCGCCCCTTTCCATCTAGAACATTCGAGGGCTTGCTCGGGTGCCGATGAGAGGAGGT